GGAACGAGGAACATTATTTTGAAAGGGTTAAGAACTGGGTTTGTATATCCATCTAAAAAATTGCCCTTCTGTGTTCATTCCTGTCTTAACGTTATTTAATTAACACATCTTTCAATAGGGGAGGCAAAGCAAACCCGATGTTGACTGAGGAAAAGAGCAACATGCCTGGTAATGAACACCCAAAGAGTCTCCCTTATTATCCACCGAGCCAGGTGGCGTGGGCACCCATATCTCTACAGGTATCTAGACCATGGTATTTTGAATCAATTCTACTGATGATATTCCTCCACGCAGATACGTCAGGCAGTGGAGCGTCATTTCTCTTGGTCTGTTTCTGTCTCTTCTTCCGCAGACCACTGATCTTTCCAGTCATCGCTTGTTCCCCAATGCCTCTTGTTCATCACACGACCGAATAACACAAAATGTCTATTTCTTAGTTATTTATTGTTTCCTAATGACTTCAGTCGCTTGTCTCGCTTATAAAATCCCCCTTCCCCCCCCCCCCAGCACAATGAAATCAATAAAACGTGAAACCCCGTGACACAAGAGGCCGAGAACCACTAGTCACGTTACTATCACGAAATGTACAGATGATTCTAGTTATCAAATTTGCTATTTTCAACCGTTTACACGTGTAAGTAAAAGAAAAATAAAAGGACATGTGCTTCCATAGTAACAGTTTCCCGTGTCTCTGAGTCGGGCAAATGAAATAATGATTCTCTTATCAGAAAACAATAACAGGCGCTGCCAGGGGCAGATAACTACAAGACAGAGCAGACGTGTAATTACAGAACGTGTGCGGGTCTGGTTTAAATAACACATGTATGTCAATAACCATGTATGTCACATACAAGCAGCTGCCGTATATAATCGTAAATCTGGGGCGCCGCTCCCAAGAAATTATGGGGGAGAGGGGGCGCTGTCGAGATCCTTTATAACAGTCTAGGAGTAGGGCGCTCAATGGACTTAAAACCGTGTTTATGTGCGCAAAACTAATAATAGATATTATTATTCGTGTGTCCTCAATGGCAAATAGTAGTGTATGTGAATAATGAATTATTTAGCAAATACATACAAACAGAACGTCTATGTGTGGCTAGGGGGCACTTAGCCAAATTACAAATTTTCTGAAGGAAGTTCAAGGTGTTAGGCCTTGTTTAAGTATGAAATAATAATAATATGTATTATTACCATGTGCTCCATGGTAAATAAATATAATAAAATCGTAAATAATAAGAAATCATTAACAAATACTTCAAAATAGAATTTATAAAAGAGGTTAGGAGGAAGGGCCAATCAGACAACTTGTAAATTTGTAAATTTTACTGTGAGGGACAATCAGCGCCCCTCCCCGGGCCCCTTACAAAAATCCTTGTGGCGGATCAAAGTCCTAAAGCTGCCAGATTCCGGCGCCTTTCTTATCAAGCAACAAGATGTCACAAGTAGCCTAGTGATTTATAGGGGAAAAGAGAACATCAGCCACCTGTACACAAGTGCCAATCATACATGCCTATGGCATCCAGTATAATTACAACCTGTATGTTTTGTGGGGGAGTTTACCAGGACCGATGTAGATGGATACTGTTATTTAGGCGCAAGGAAAATTATTCAGTAAAAGAAACAAGCTGCGATTAGTTTCGAGATGCTCAGAACATCGACGGTGCAGGATCAATAAGACAGAACAATTCAAACAAAACAGAACTTTGGCGCTGAAAGTCAAGGTTAAACAACAGCACATCTCTCTTTCTCTCCCTCCCCCTCTCTCCCCCCTCCCCCTCCCTACCTCTCTCCCCCTCCTTCCCTCTCTCCCCTCCCTCCCTCTCTCCCCCTCCATCCCTCCCTCTCTCTCCCCCTCCCTCACTCTCTCTCCCTCCCCCTCCCTCTCTCTCTCCCTCTCTTCTTCTCTCTCTCCCTGCCTCCCTCTCTCTATTTCTCTCTCCCTCCCTCCCTCTCTCTCCCCCCCCCACTCTCTCAGATCTCCCTCCCTCTCTCTCTCTCTCCCACTCTCTCAGATCTCTCTCCCTCCCTCTCTCTATCTCTCCTCTCCCTCCTCTCTCTCTCTCTCTCCCTCCCCCCCCCCCCCCCCGTCCAAGTCTGACATCAGCCATGCTAAACATTCAGTGCCGACTGAGTCAAAAACAGGACGGTGTGCGCCACAGATCACCACATGTCTTCAATGTCTTGACTCCTGTCTGATACGTCCCGTAACATGAAACAATCTAGATTTTTTTGTTTGTTGCGTCACGTCATGAGAAGGAGAAAACTAGAGGGCAGTGGGGGAAATCAAAGGGAAAATTACAGAAGTGAGGGAGAGGCAGTGGGAGAAGGAGAAAGAAGATGCTGGATATGTAGACGTCATAGCATGTAAGACTGTGTCAGAAATAACTGTCAGTAAATGACACAATAGGCCGTAGAGAGACACGAGTTCCAAAGACGCACGGCATAGACCATTCTTCTGTATATGCTCATTTACTGAGCCAGTCTTTCAAACACATCTGTATCTGATTGTTTTAGTTTCCATAAAATATTATCTATTCTCCTGTATAGCCTCATTTACTGAGCCAGTCTTTCAAACACATCTGTATCTGATTGTTTTAGTTTCCATAAAATATTATCTATTCTCCTGTATAGCCTCATTTACTGAGCCAGTCTTTCAAACACATCTGTATCTGATTGTTTTAGTTTCCATAAAATATTATCTATTCTCCTGTATAGCCTCATTTACTGAGCCAGTCTTTCAAACACATCTGTATCTGATTGTTTTAGTTTCCATAAAATATTATCTATTCTCCTGTATAGCCTCATTTACTGAGCCAGTCTTTCAAGATCGTTAAGCAAAAAAAAAAAAAAAAAAGACACGAGACAGAAGGTTGTGGATACACAAGAATACCAACCCCACACATGCGCGATTAGAAGAAGAAGAAAAATACGCTGTATCTGAATGAGCTCACGACAAATAGGTCCCAGCTGTTTGAGTCAAGATTTGATATCGTGACTACTGCCTCAGGACACTTGAGTCCCAAAATGGTTGAGAAAATTACTTTAGATTGAGATGCAGGCGTTAACAAAAATCACTCCCAGACAAGAGTAGACACACAAATAGCCACCTTGAGACACAACACGACCACGGTAATTATAGCGGGAAGTAACTATTTCTAGTACTATCATGCCACACAATAAATAGTCCAATGTGGAACTTAATGACAACAAAGGAATGCACTGTGGTGTGTACACTTGTACTGGTATAAGCATCATACAATATAACAGCTGCGACTAGTAAACGTGTATGTATATATATATATATATATATATATATATATATATATATATATATATATATATATATGTTTGCATTATATGCATGTACTGTATCCCCAGCAAACAAGAAAAAGAAAAAAGAAAAGCGTTAAAAACTACACTGTAGAAGTAACCACACAGTCAGTAGATACTGCCGTCGGTGGAGAGTTTTAGTGTGAAACTTTCACTCATTCTCCTGTACTGTATACAATACATAAAATATCCGGGATGTGATGTGTAGCCAAATGCCCACCTGTCCTGTACCAACACCACAAGAGGTAAGTGCCAGTGTGCGATACCATACACACCAGCTTCTGGTCAGAGAGACAGAGAAAAGCGAGAGAGAGAGAGACAGAGAGAGAGAGAGAGAGAGAGAGAGAGATAGAGGGGGGGGAGAGAGATAGAGAGAAGGACGTTTATTAAGGGAAATGGGAGCGAGAGAAAGAGAGTGCGTGCGTGTGAGGGATATATAGGCAAGGGAAAAGATGAAATAACAGGCACTGATTCAGATACGATCAGACAGACGAAGACATGAGACCGAAACAAAGGACTAAATTGTGTTTTCTTTAAGTCGAACCAAGCCTCGACTGGCCTAAAATTATTACCAGTGTCTGTCCTGTGAAGCAAAGTCGGACAGCATGGTTAGTTAGTTGCCTATCCTTTACAGGACGCTGCAGAATCAACCGCATTTTTTGTTTAGCTGTTGTAGTTTTTAATAGGCAAATTTATGTCCAGTAGTTTGCCACTGCTTTCTGGACGGTCGCCTTTAGGTACCATTGTCGAAACCAACGCAAGACAACCCGTCCGCAGCTGGGATCGAACCCGGTACCCCGGCATTACGAAGCCAGTTCGCAATAATATAAGCCACAGACGCCGACAGCATGGTACTAACCATATAACCCATCGAGTCCTAATCCTAACAAGAATGCCCTTTTACTATCTGCCACAGCGAGCCACACTAAAACGTTACAACGGGTATGGAGCGAGTGGAAGACCTCGGAAAATATGGAGTGATGGCATTAAGAACAGCCTTACAGAAATTAACATCAGTCTTAATAGTGCTCTTGACAAAGCTTATCAACGAACATTACATCTCCCCCCGACACTTTGATAAGGTAAAAGGTGGAAAAGAAGAAGTCCTAATCGATTTTTATGTTGTCTGTGTGCAATTCTATCTTTCTACTTCTAACATGGGTGCCGATCAATATATGTTTATTATACTGCACTTTCACTCGGAAGTTTTTCCCAGGGGTTTGCCTTATTATATGGGCTGTTTTATTTGGTTGTGACGTTTCAAGAAGAAGAAACAGGATCTTAATATTCTTGATGTGTTTCCAAAGTATACTGAGCTGTTCTGGTGGGCACTAGGAAAACTACTTCTTGAGCTTCTATGGTGGCTTGGGTAATGGAGTTGTTCGTCTTTTTGCAGGTTTCAGCTAAACTATCTATCCATCTCCTTCTTTGTCTTTCTCTCGTCTTCACCTGGATGTTCTGTTTTTAAAAAATCTCGAATACAGTTTCGTTTGGCTGCATTCTCATTAGACTGCCGAACGATTTCATTCTTTCTCTGTCAATATAATTCAGACACGGTCTCAATCCAACGTTCTCTCTAATGCCGGTGGTGTTCGTAAGATTGTCCAATCTTGTGTTGTTACTGACCTAAGGGAGACAGCATAAAACAGACAGACGGGAAAAGTACTCACCCATGAATCTGTGTCGCTTTCCTCTTCATCTCTGGCGGTGTCGATGGCCCGTAGTAGAGCTTTCCTAGCCTCGAGATCTTGAACACCATAGACTTCAATCAATTCATCCTCTGAGGTCAGTCTGTTGGGGGAAAAAAATCACAATTTTCACAATGTAAAAAAAAAAAAAGTTCAGAGGGACGGTATTTACAATGCAGCCGGTTGGTAAAGAAGACACTACTTGCGAGGTAGCCGGCAGTTGAAGGCGGTCGTAACCGGCTACTAAAATAAAACATTATTTACAATGTAGCCAGCTGATTAAGTAGGATGGTGCATTTTAGCTAGTTGCTAAAGGGAGACACTGTAGTAGCCTGTTGCTAAAGAGAGACACTACAATGCAGCCTGCTGCTAAAAAGAGACACTACAATGCAACCTGCTGCTAAAGAGAGACACTACAATGCAGCCTGTTGCTAAAAGAGAGACACTACAATTTAGCCTGTTGCTAAAGGGAGACACTACAATGTAGCCTGTTGCTAAAGGGAGACACAACAATGCAGCCTGTTTCTAAAGGGAGACACTACAATGTAGCATGTTGCTAAAGAGTACACTAAAATGTACCTGTCAGTAAAAAAAAAGGGGGGGGGGGGGAGGGGGGACAATTTACAATGTAGCTGTTAGTTTTAAAAAAAAAAGGGGGGGGGGGGTGTGCACTATTTACAATACAGCTGGCCAGTAATGAAAACACTGATGAATCTAGATAAACGCAACATGCTTTCAAGATATTGACAAGCTAGGAAAAGGTTTAGGTTCTGGTGAAAATGCCAAGAATAGAGTGGATGAAGAAAGACATCAAATGAGGGTCCTCCAGGAAACAGACGGAAACATTTAACTGATTCGTGGGTGAGTAAAGTACTGTTGGGCTGCTGATGCTTTTTCTTCTCCTTCTTTTTCTTCGTCTTTGTTTTCTTCTTCTTCAGTATTCTGTACCTTTAAGGTTCACAACTTCAGATGTCACTCATACAGGTATAGCAACAGAGGCGAATAAAGCTGCAGTAGCAGCAGCAGTATCGCAGCAGCAGTAAAGTAACAGCAGCAGTAAAGCAGTGGTAGCAGCATTAGTAGTACGCACGCACTCACTCGCATACACGACAGAAAGAGAGGCCATCTCTTTCATCTATATTTAGCATACAACTGCAAGTGTCCCCTTGACAAGTATCGAATACGAACAGTACGAAGCCCTCTTTCTTTTCTAGCCACAACACTAACCACTGCAAGTGTCCTCTTGACCAGTATCTAATACGAACAGTACGAAGCCCTCTTTCTTTTCTAGCCACAACACTAACCACTGCAAGTGTCCTCATGACCAGTATCTAATACGAACAGTACGAAGCCCTCTTTCTTTTCTAGCCACAACACTAACCACTGCAAGTGTCCTCATGACCAGTATCTAATACGAACAGTACGAAGCCCTCTTTCTTTTCTAGCCACAACACTAACCACTGCAAGTGTCCTCTTGACCAGTATCGAATACGAACAGTACGAAGCCCTCTTTCTTTTCTAGCCACAACACTAACCACTGCAAGTGTCACGGTAAATCTGTAACATCCGTAAACCACTGCTGACATCTTCGTCCTCGTCCTCCTCCTTCTGCTTTCACCTTTGAAAGAGCAGCTGACCCGTTGTGTCGTAATGGTTGTTGTGTCGTTGTTTACAGCTAGGCTGTGATATCTGCTACTTTCTGCCCAATACATCTTATCGCAGCAAACCCATAATTAGTCACCTTTTACGACATGCTTGCTAGGAGGCAGTGGCTATACCCCGTCTCCCAAATGGGACCCCATAACCCATAGCTGATCAGCTAAAACTACAGTGAAGCTGTAAATATATAATCACTATATCAGAAAATACAAAAAGGGTCAGATTTACCAGAATGTAATTACACGAGATTTACCAGAATGTAATTACAAGTGAAAGAATAGACGTTGTGACTTGAAAAAAAGCCTTTATCAGCGAAAAAAAAAAGATACGAAAAATTATGATACGCTACACTATAATAGTAACCACATAGTAGTGTTTCCCAAACTGTTCTTAGTCGCGGCGCCTTTTTGTTCAATTCAAACTTTTCCACGGCGCCCTAACTTAAGTATAAAAGTATGACTATTCGTATGTAAGAGATTTTTTTTTTTTTAAATTGTGTATCTTCGAATATTTCGCGGCGTCCCTGTGAAGAGGTCGCGGCTCCCCGGGGCGCCCAGTTTGGGAATCACTGCCATAGTAGATACTGCCGTTGATGTGTGAAACTTTCCCTCATTCTCAGCCACGACAAATGGCATAATTTGGCTTGATACTGACTCCAGTACTTTCTTCCCACAAATGTCTATAAACTGTACTGTCTGGTGCCTATTGTTTATGAGGCTGAGTCGATCCTAACGCCGCAATGGTCAGAAAAACCGTCTTGCCACTTCTAGGGTCGAACCTGGGCCACTATTCCGGCAGACAATTGCCCTAAACACTGTGTCACGCTTCAAACAACAGAAACACAACAATTATGCTAAATGTTATTGACTGCAGAACATGAGATGTTGTATCTTTCTTCTTAGAATACACAAAAACAGTATCTTTAATCTCAAACCCACTTTAAGCAGGGACACTTGGAAGCCGTTTGTCAAATATAAAAATCAGTCTCGGTGCAGATTTGAACCAAAGACATTCGGTCCAGCAGGTAGGCATCTAGTCAGTAAGATAAAGCCTGCTGCCAATAAATGGCAAACCTTCGTTATGCTTCTTAAACACAGTTCAGCGGATTAATTTTTTTTTTTCTAGTGCCATCTGTTTAAAGTGTGTATTTTTCTAATACAATGTCCGACAATTGAGTAATCTGACTAATTCCATAAAAATTGAAATAATCTCCAGTTGAAGATATAACCTGTATTTTATTCAAAGTAAATCCCGTGTGCATTGATACAGCAAGTGGCACGATCTTACAAACTCTGGAACGACCTATGTAGTTCTTCTGTTGTCGTGGCCCTTAAAGTCGATGTTACGGCCCTTTGGATGTCATCAGTTTCGTTGAAGAAGCGTCCTTTCAATCGTAACTTTTATTTTGGGAATAGAAAATAATCATAGGGAGACAAATCTGGGGAATAGGGTGGATTGTTGTTGTTGTTATTGATTGAGCGGCGCATGAGCCATGTAGTGGAATTTACATGTTTGCACAAGCTGTTCTTTTCCTCCGTACAAGGTGTTCCACCTGTCCGGTCTCGGAGGGAGTAGCATTCTTCTAGTCTCGCTGAGTTTTGGGCACTCAAAGAGAAGACGGTCAACAGTTTCGTAGGGGTAGTTACATGGCTGGCACTCTGGGGAGTGTTGTGGCTGTACTCTGTTTAGGTTTCCATTGAGTGGAGTATGTTGTGTTTTGAGTCTGAAGATGGTGGCCTGGTCCCTTCTTGTTAAATGGTTATTGCTGTCGTTAGGATCAGGGCTAGCCATGTGTCTATAAACCTTTCTTCCAGTATCTCCCATGGCCCATCTATTCAGCCAAGTCTCTTTGTTTATAACTTTTATAAGTGTTTGTGCTGCCTGTAGGGTTGTCGCTGTAGGTGGTTGTTCTTGTGTTGCTCCTTCGTTTGCCGGTCTGTCAGCTCTGTCATTACCTGCTGTGCCAGAGTGGCCTGGAATCCACTGCATCACTATTCTGATGTTGTATGAGGTAATGAGCTGATCAGCATCTAGAATTATCTTAGCTATGTCAGTTCTGCAGCGTTCACTGCTCTCCAGAGCTTGAAGAGCAGACATTGAATCGGTGAAGATGACAATATTTTGGGCTTTTGATGGATAAATCATGTGGAGACAAATGTGGGGAATAGGGTGGAAGGCTGAAAACACACAGCTGTTTTAAGGCCAACAATTCTTGTTTTAATGATGTCTCTAATGTGGTACAAACCGGGAAGTAACTTTTTTTCTTGCCTAAATCTTGTACTAAAATGTTATGAATAGTCTATTACCACAAGATTCATCTTTCTTCATCCTCATAGTAAAACAATGCTCTTCTTGTATCTGTTCTTCGACTTTTGCAATGCGTTCATCATTACGAACAGCAATTTGGCGTCCAGTTCTAGGCGCATTAGTAATCCTTTCCACAACACTTTTGAATCATGAATACCAACTGAAAATGTGTGCACGAGATAAACAATTATCCCCATACACTTGATGCATCAATTCAACTGTTTCAATGGCACTTTTTCTGAGTTTTAAAAAGAATTCATTCAATGTTAGCTTTTGCTCCGTGCTTATATGTAACAATGCACCCCTGCCTTTTCACACACAATGGCGGCTTGTTTGGTGTCTGCTTATCAAGCGGCAATGAAAAATTGTCAGATCATAGACGAATGTTGCCTCTTTAGATTCTACGCTTTGCTTTATAGATATCATTTTTGTCTTGGCCATAATAAAATCAGTCTCATTACTTAATTGTCGGACCTTGTATACGTTAATTTCATTTTTCTTTTTGTTCATATAACTATTATAAATGAAGGAGGGGGGTGGAGGGGGGGGCTGCTGATGCAGGCTTTCTAGCATAAACGTCCATCCCCTTTACTCGTGACTACATTCAGTAACTGGCATTTTCAACTTCCCTTCGTTGTCTACATATTCGTTGCTTTAGAATACACTCTGCGAATCTTGCAAAGATGTTTTGACGCCCAAATAATAATTGTTTCGTTGTGTGGTTTGAAGAACGATGACAAACAGTGCAATGCGATACCTAGTTTTGCCGCCCAGACTTGGCTCCCTCCGGGAATCTAAACTCATTCTATATCTGAATTCAATTTTCATGTCATCGCTTTGTCTTGGCATACATAATGAAATGAAGACAATGCAAATGCTACTACCAGTGTTGCACCTTACCGCTAGAAGGCTGCTGCTTCAGCTGTCGAAGATAACCTGCTTTAAAATGTAAATCCCTTCTCCTTCTTCTTCTTCTTCTCCTACACCTCAGCGAAGTGCCGGGGGGAGATGTAACATTCGTTGATGAGCTTTGCCAAGAGCACTATTTCTGTAAGGCTATTCTTAATGCCACCACTCCATGTTTTCCGAGGTCTTCCGCTCTCTATATACCCGTTTACACGTTTTAGTGTGGCTCGG